AACAAGAAATGCGTAACCAAAGGCATTTGTCTACCATGCAAAGATCGCAGCAGAGGACAACGGCGAAACAAGGCACTATATTGGAATTACGGCTACAACTTTCAAGGAGCGTTTTAGGAACCACCAGAAATCGTTCAACATCGCTACGTATGCAAACGACACTGAACTGTCGAAGTACGTATGGAGTTTGAAGAAAAGCAATCGCCCATACAAAATTAAATGGACCATCTTAAAACATTCGAGTGCATACAGATCCGGACGTAATCAGTGCAATTTGTGTAGCGACGAAAAACTTTTCATCATGAAATTTAAAAAGAACTCGCTGCTCAACAAAAGAAGTGAAATATTCTCGAATTGCGTCCATCAAAAACAATTTCTGGCGGGAAAATACATTCGCGTGCAATCGAACAACGTGCGCAATCATGCACGCGCAAGCAAACAAAACAAAACCATCAAATTTAGTTAACAGAACTTTAGTTGTCCGAAGATTGTCTGTAAACTCAGGCATGAAACTCTGAGTAACAACGTTTGTTTTGTACTTTATTTCATAAATAATTAAATAAATTTAGCTGTACAATAAAGTATTGAGCACTCTATAATTATATCAAGAAAACTTGAATTGTTATATATATATATATATATATATATGTCTCCACCTTCCCTTTCGAGTTTATAAGGATCAAACAGCGTTGCATTAACCGAGCTTGGTTTACTGGCATGCAGGCACAAAATTTTAGACGACACTTTTATGGGAAAAATTTTGGCTATGAATATAGTTCATAGCCGCTTTATTGAAAATATTTAATGAAATAACATATTCTCTGACATCAAAATAATACTGAAGTCTAGATTGATTATATAAATGTTCTATAGCCAGTAAAGATGGCAGGAATATACGCCAAAGGCTTTGCAATTCGCCCTAAGCATTGAGGGACGAATCAAAAGTCTCCCCACCCGAGACAATGCAACGCTACATGGCCTCAACCATACACGTATTACGTTACATATTAGAAAATTCTGAAAGAACATCACAAGATATAAACCTCAAAAATTATGAAAATTGAAGGCAGTCGCCCTTGCAGACTGCTCCAAAACTAGCATACTCGATATATGGAAACTGGTATAAATGTATACCTAGCGAAGTCGTTGATCAGCTGCCCTTGCAAGCTGTCTGAAACATGTTCTACAACATGGTAGCAGTAGCCCCTGCTAACTGTCTTGTCATTATTAAACTGAGTATTACGAAAAAATGGCAGCTGCCCTTGCTAACTGCTGAAACAAGTCTTAAGTGTATAGCACAAAGCAAGTTGCACAACCAGACAATAATTTGGCAAGCCTAAGAAAAACGTGGCAGAAAGGTATTGTCAGCCCCTGTATGACAACATCGCCCTGCCACCCTTAAAGCCTCCACCAGACAACACCCCGCATTGTTGTCCGGGGGGGGTTAAATATCTATAATTTATGACGCTGTAAGGGTTGAAACTCAAATGTATTTGTGAAATGCATTGGACTTCCAACTACCCAAGACGCGAATCTGCGCATCAGACAAGCCCTGCTCAGCTGCGAATGATGCTGCACCAATTCGGAAACTGTGAGATTTATAAACCGTAGGATTGAGGTTGCAAAATTTTAAGCATTGATTGAGATAAGACATAAACATGTTTCTCGGCACCGTCGCCCCCACAGGAGTCATGAAAATTGGCCCAGGAGAATTGCCACGGCGGGTCAAATAATTGCACAAAAGTTGTACAGGGCAAGGCTTGGGGGTTGGCTGACAATAAATGGCCATGGAAAACGGGCGTTGGTTGTAATTGTGTTTATAGTCAGTGAAGGTTATTTTAAAACCAATTACTTCACTGTCTCTTAAGAGTTTGGTGAGTTGGTTTAAATGTAGTGGAATAGGAGACTGCTTTGATGTCGAAGTTAGTTCGCCAATACGTAGAAAGGCGAAGAATGCCAGAGCACACATGGCTTTAAATTGGCATTGATCATATGTAGTGGTAATACACTGTGAAGCAGCCATAAGTAATCGGGTAAGGATTGGAAGGGTTATTGGTAACCGACTATCCAAGCGAAGCTCAGTTTTCCATAGCCCTTTAGCATTTGCATAATGATTTTGTTGGGTCAGTCAAATTGAAAAGTATATGTGAATACCCGAGAGCAGGGACATATGTGTTGACAGTTGCGGTGGCGTACCGCCGATCAAACATGTATGCAATGAAAAGTGCCAAAGTATGAGGTGAAATAGGCAATGTGTATGAAATAGTATCAGATATATGTAAATAGAAATGGTCAAAAAGTTTCCAAGCGCGTTGATAAGTAAGAATCGAAGAGCGCTGTAGGCTGGATCGTGTCAAGAGGGAAACACATTTAAGTCTTGTTTCGTCTCGCGATTAAGCCTGATAAGGTGATGAGATAAACGGATGCCGTTACAATGTTACCACCCCCTAAAGTGGCAAGCAATATGGCGAATTCATGATTGAATTCCAAGCTTTCACCAAAATGGCAATATCTCAGAAACAATTGCATAAAAAAGTCTGATCTTTTCAATCAAACATGAATGATATATGATTGACCAAATTTAGTTTAGATGACCTTGCATACCTATATATATCATTAGTTTTTTCAGTCAGTATTATTTATCAAGCAGTGACACTTTGTTTTTCATGTCACTCATCACCTAAAGGGGCAATATCTCCATAAATTTATATAAAAACAAAAAAAAATTCATTTACTAAATTAATACATATCTATATTACAACCAATTTTCATTTTTTGGGATATGAATTACGAAATTATCAAAAAATTTAAAAATTACTTCTTTGCTTTTTTTGGGCATCCTGTTTACAACATGAAATTTAGAACAGTAACTAAGTGTTCAAGTTCAACAAAGTGTGCAAGCCAAAACACAGTGTTTGTACATCTTTAAAGTTTTTGATTGCTTCAAATATATTTAAAAAGACACATAGTGCTTAAATTTATTTATTTTAATATAAACCAAGGATGGGAAGGTGAGAAAATGGGAATTTTCTGAGGTGTTTTTAACACAGACAATGACAGCCGACATTTTGAAAGGCACTCTGCGGTGACAAAACTAAAAGCTATTCACTTCTGTACTCAAAGCACTGAAAAGCATCATAAAGAGAAAAACACTTTAAACACACGTCAGTTAAGACTTTTAGCTCAATATTCTCATGCTTCTATTGGGAAAGCAACGGTTTAAAAGCCAAAATTATTTTGCGCGGCAATGTAGGCTGCTATAAAATGTCAGACAGGCGGTTTCTTTTGAAGTCTGGCTCTGAAAAACAATCTCTTTTTTTGAGTTTGAAATAAGCCTTCATAAGGACTATTGTGTAGAAATGTTATCTATATGCTCACATGAAAAAGATAACCTAATATTCAGGTATTCCACATAGCTATAAAAGGGTGAAATAAGAACTTTCATCTTTGGTTGTTTGTCAGACGTGAGAAACCACATTAGTGCCATTTTGTCGCGCGTGCTATTTTATAAAATAAACACCTCAAAACCATAAACTTTTAGTTCAGAAAATTACAAAGTTTCCCATAGAGGTTATTAAAAATGTTCTAGTGAAGCGATTTCATGATAAATAAGTGAGCAATGGGCCCAAATGAACTGCTAAGGTTGGTTTTTGTTAGGACTTCAATTTCATGGCTTCCCGCAAAGGAAGCCATTTCAGAGAGAAGCGACATTTTGCAAACAACCGTCGCGACCTATTTTGATAACTTTTCCTTCTGATTCAACGTGTAGTTACTAGAAAATGATGTTGCATCAAACATTATCTGCTTTATCGATTTAAAGTTTTATAGGGGATATAAAAAACAGTAAAAATGCATTTTGAAAGCTTTACAACTCAAGTGCGGATTTTTTGAATATTCGCACGCGGCAAGCAAGCGTGTTTATTCAATACACTTATTTTACACCACAATACGTCTGAAACGAGTTGTCATTTTAACACTAAATTGATGAAAATAGATATAACAGTGATTTTGGAATATCCTAGTTATTTAGTGTAATTTAACACTCGAAGTATTCGTGCCAAAAAGGTCACGTACGCACACAGTAAGTGTCGTTTGAAATATACTTTAGCTAAAATAACAACTTGAACAAGAAGACCAACAATGTTCATCTTCTTGTGATTTCCGACTTCTATTTTTAATATAGTTTGGAGAAATCCTAATCTTTTTGTCTGAAAATCTCGCGCATGGTTCACAGAAGAACTTGGCCCCAAAACGTCAATACATTCGCTTTCCTTTCATGCCAAATTTTCGTTGTAGATAATTCAAAAACCTCTTCTTTTTTCTCTTTTAAAACTTCCTGTGAAATCCGTCTTTGCAACAATGTCGCCATTATTCATATTCATTATTTTTGAAAAACTAAGGTTTTAAACTGGAAAAACATTTGCGAGCTTTTGGGCGATTTTCTTGCATGATACATCATTGAAAAGCTCGAATTTCGCGTTCTATTTTCGTATCCGTTGCTAGGCAACCGAATAAACACGTGCTCAAATATCATGCCCGCAAGTTGAGGTGTCATTTATTTGAGGGCGTATGCCGGCACATTGCCAGTTACCCACTTGCCAATCTCCGGGCGCATTGCCAGTTAATGAGTTAAACTATCAATGGCAATTTTTCTTTTAAATTTAAATGCTTTGCATCGAGAAATATTTATTAATGTTGAAGATCAGCCTTATAAAGCAATAGGAACACGTAGTTGAAACGTTAACAGGCAATTAAGTATTGAAAGTTATTACCATAGCACATTAAACTACAGTTATTGATTGTGAGTTTTATATTAACAACCAAAATGGACATTTATAAATCATGAGTACATGTAGGAATTATGAGATAGTAACATGCACACTCTTTTTGCAAGAGAAACTACAGTATAAACATTTCCAATACAAATTACATTCTTGACCAACAGATTAGTTTAAAATCCTATACCCATTTATAATCTATTATATAAAAATACAAGTTTTTTAAATTACTCGGGGAAGATCAATTTCTTTAACTGTTGCCAGAATAGATCTACAGCTGTCCTTGATCTTGATGAAGTCACTGGTTGCAACTGGATTGGAAGCTGTGGCCAAAAAAACCTCCAAATCTTGAGCACATTGTTTCAAGTGGTTCACCTGGTCATGCAGAATGCCAATGGCGACAGGCAATCTGAAAAAAAAGGCAGTGGTACAATTTCGGAGCAATACACAAATATAGAAATATACAATATAGAAATATTTTATTCTCAGATATATTCAAATTATTATGGTTTCCAAACTATGGAAGTGTGAACAATCTTGGAAATCTCATTTTCAACTTAATTCTTTACAATTTCCAGAATATTTCTATGGTGTCAAAGAGGTCCAAATTTTCTCATGATATTCGTTTAGTAGTTATATTTATGACAGTGGTTTCAGTTTCAGAGAGTAAGTATTCGTTACTTTAAAAATTTTAAAAAGAAGTAACAACAATAACAACAACAACATACCTATCAGCATCATGCTCAATGTGTCCAGCATTATTTATTTTAGAGAGTAGATGTTGAACTCGATTCCTCTCATATTTCCGATGGGGACAGTCATCATGGGCAGAAACCTTCTTGACGTCCTCTTCCTCTGTCATATCCAGGTATTGGAATACAGCGTATTCAATCTTGCACAGACTGCCTCTTTGCTCAGCACTAAATGATGTGTCATCACTAGCCAAAGGAATCTCAAAAACGGCAGGATGCATTGTTCGAAGCCTTACAATCTCGCTTGCCCAAGTTGTGCCACTTGAATCAACAAATGCCTTTGGCCTAACAACTACAAAGTGACTGTCATCGTCAACAAGCGTAGTGATTTCTGAACCGATATGCATTGTTCTCTTTGTCATGATACAATGCGCAGATGGTGTTTGGTAAACCATGGTCTCTGGCCAGTCATATTTCGGCAGTTGTTTAGCCCCCTCATTTGCCAGGTTGAGAATCTTTACCCTTCTGGTTTTTTCACATCCTTCAGACTGGTCTGACATAAGCTTTATCGTCCATTGAGTGGAGAAGAGAGTACTTGGTACTTTCATCATCCTTGAAGAGAAAAAGCTTGATGTTCTTTACATGGGCTCTTTGGTAGTGCGTAGATTCATTATCCTTGTCTTCAGCTTTGGGAGGTTTGGATGTACAAAAGAGTCCTTTTCCTAAGTGTTTTGCCTGGATAGATCTGGTGTTTCTTGGTCTTGACCTATTCCATACTGTTGTAGCTGATTTCAACAACTTCTTGCCATCAGTTTGACGTTTGTGGTTTACAATGCCCAGAAGATCATTTTTCTTCACTCTCCTACAAAATGTAAAGTACTGTTGATCTTAGGAATCCGTATATTTAAAACATGTTGCGGATCCGCTAAATTAAATTCCTTAATAACGTGTTAATGTACTCCAATAACATGTAAAGTACTGTACATGCATTTGTGAACCTTCATCTTTAAACCATTCCTGTTTATTGTTTGCCCATTTTGTGCTTTTCGCATATACATGTATATCATATGATATTTGGTTTCAAACACTCTATATTCACATACCTGTTCACATACATCACTGTATTGTGTCTTCTTCCATGATACGTTGCTTTATCCTCTATGCTTTTTGCAACAAAATCTTCATCTTCCTCATCTAGAAGTACTGGAGCACCAACCCCGAGTCGTCTTCGTTTTAGTCGACGATGCTCATCCAGATGGTCAGCTGTTCGTTTTACCATTTGCTGAAATTTCTGCTTTGACGTATTACTGTTATGTTCCTGAAATGTAAATACTATTTTATATCTGCCTATATGTTTATCTGTCTGTCATGTCTGTCAAACAAATAATCTTACACTCATCAGAAATATTATTATTTGTACTGAACATTATGTGTACCTGAATTTCTTGGACTGGTCACCTGTTCTTTCAAAGCTTCTATTTCTGCTTCTTTGTCTTCTTTCACATGCGGGGGCCATGACTGTCCAAATTGCTGAATAGCAGTTGCCTTCTGAGAAATTTTGTCATTCAAACTTTTTTCTTTATCTTGAAGACGAACTATGATTAAATCTCGGGCAGTCATCTTGGTTTGAGCGATTTCAGTGACTACGTTAATCACAGTTGACTTCTTTGACAATAATTTGTCCACATTGAAACAAAGGTGTGAGAGTTCACCTCAAGTCTTTCCATAACACAACAGAAGTTTTGCACATTCTTTGTCCCATTCTGAATCCATTGATGATATAATAAGATCCATAATGTCAAGTTTATGACCTAGCTCATGTTTTAACCTGGTGAATATGATTCAACCGTATATGATTAAAAAATGTGTTGCTACTTCGCAATGTACCATTTGTCCTACCATTTCTTTCTAAAACCTAACCATATTAATCTACCATAACCCTAACCCACAACCCATATTCATACAGCAAAATGAACTAGATTAAACAGATTGACATCTAACTACAACATGTATGGTATATTTATATTAAATGTAGGCATATTTGTGATTCATATTAAAATGTTAAAGAAACTGACATTAAACATCTCAACTTTGGAACTTCCATATAAATTATAATATTCAACAAAAGGCCATTTGCAATTATAAAAATCAGAACTATAGGCATGGTATTTAAGGCTCAAAAACTTTTTTAACCCCCCCCCCCTTTCTAGGTTAAAACTTTTTTACCACCCCTATTTACAAGGGTAAAACTTCGTCTGCCCCCCCC